GTGAAAATTTCTGCCTGATGCCAACAAAGAGAATGTTGATCTCTTACACTTTTGGATGCTAACTTTATCTTTTTCATTCATGAATCAGTGCTCTGCATGGTTTTATACAGTTTAAAGGCAAACTTATAATTGGGAGACTGATTTTTTTCATGAATTTTTGCATTAAAATCTATACAATGTTCAGGGGAAATAAGAGATAAATGCTCACTTATTTATTTGTAAGTGAAATAATTTTGCTCCAATATGTGAAAATTTCTGCATGATGCCAACAGAGAAAATGTTGAGGAAGCAAAAATGTATACAGTAATAATTTAAAAGTTTTTGTAGTCAAATTAATCATTTGAAGTTCAGCTGCACTCCTTGGTGATATTAATTTATTTTATTGCCCCATCAATTTTCATTCCATTTTTTTACCCTCTTGAATTCCTGGGAACAAATTGCATTCGAATTTTATTTTTTTTAAACCTAAACGAATTGCATTTTCTAATTGCTGTGATTGTAGGAAATGAATCATATGGAGTACCTATAAACCTGTTGAAGTTCTGCTACCTTCATTATTGATTACAATCCTCCAGAAATCCCTTTCTTCATCATCTTCAATTTCCTGGAACACATTGTATTCGCATATATTGAAAATATACTTCAATATGCATTTACAAAATATAAAAAAATAAATACAGCATATATTTATTCAGTGCATATTTATTGAAAATAATATTTGTTCATTTTTACTGTGATTAGTAATTGATATTGGGCTATAACTGATTTTTCAGCTGTTATGTGCAAAACAAAATCATTTGGCATTCAGCCAATTTTGTGGCTTATAATATGCATGGCATGGGACAGGTTTGAATGCAAATTTTTAGCATTTTTGTCTTTTTCTTTATGCAATTGATGGACAAATTATATGAATTTACAAGGGTTGTCCCACTTCTGATTGACCTTGGTTATTTCTAGAGTAGATAAAAATGTAACAAATATGTCTTTATAATGTTGCCCATGCTTTTTTCAAGTTCTGGGATTTTTTCAGATTTTCATTTTCAAAAATTTACATTCACTGCATGAGTAAAAACTTTTCAGTTACAGAGATATATTTCTCCATCCATGTCACAAGCTGTTGAAACTTTTTCAGGCCAAACAAAAAATTTCACAAACACTTCTACATTTCTTGTAATTTTTAGTGTCATTTATTTGTTTTTTTTTTATGTGCAAGAAATGAAAACCTAAATAAAAATATCACATTAATTATTAAATTTGATATTGAATTTTTCCCACAGCAAGGGTTTATTTCAAATTTTTTAATTCCTCTTCAAAAGCATCATCCAAGCCTCCAAGGCCTAATTTTTTTTTTTTTTTTTTTTACAAATACTTTTTTCATTATTTGCTGTGATCCCAAATAGGCATTTTACCAATGAAAAATAAGGAAAGGAATCATTCAAAAAACTGGAGATTAGCATTTGAATAATGTGTCTCATGCAACTGCACATTCTTGGCCACAAAATGACTGATTGCCACCTGTATTTTTTATTTTTTTACTGCAAATAACTGATGAAAAAATGGACAGTCATGTAGGCATGTTTGGGGCCCCTATATGCCTTATAGCCATGCTGGTATATCCCTCCAGATGCATTGTCAAGGCAACAACTGGACCACACAATGAAGCAGGAAGCACAAAGAATATTTGCTCTCCACATGCAAGCCAGGTATTGTTTCCCAGCATCATGAAGGAAAATTAAAGTTGCCTCAGGCGTGACTGGAGGCAATTTATAAAAATAAAAAATAAATTAAAGCGCCACAAGCCGGAGATAACCAAATGAGTAGCCCAGAATCAGGGCGAAAAAAGAAGAAAGAAATATAAATAAAAGGAGATTCTCATCTCAGCCCTGTCCCGGATTTCTGCCCTGCATTTGCCAAGAAACCAGGACATGGCCTGGATCCTTGTCTTATATATTGTACATCCCTGCTTTCCTCTGACACCAGCCTTGAAACCACCCTGAAAATAATTTGTAATGCCCTCAGCACCCTCATGGAAGAAGGAAGGTCTGTACAGTATTTTTTTTTTTTGGTAATTGTAACCCACCCTGCGGAAGCAGGAAGTCAAAGTATCTCTTCCCTTCTACACAGGATGTTGTTGGTGTGTGTGTGTGTGTGTGTGACCTCAACCTTTATAAAGTGTAAGATGCCATCTTGTCTAGTCAGGTTCCCACAGGGTTTTGAATAGCCCCAGCCTTTTTGCTTGTTGTGGGCATTTTGACTGGAGAACTTTCTCTTTCATGTTTAGCTGAAGGTCAATGTACAAGATGTGGGATTTTATTCTTGGATAACTTCAGTAATGTATTTCCTGATACATTTTGAGCTTGACCTTTTATACACCTCACCTCACACCCAGAAAATGTTTCAGGACTCAAAAATGTGAGGGCTGTGAACTGTAATTTTTAAATGCTGTTGAGAAGAAAAACTTTTTTCTTACACAATTACAAAGTTGCATTCTTTTCTCTTTCAACCATATTTGAATCAAAATGATAAATTCCTGCTGAATGGCAAATTGCGACAATAATGAAAGAGAAAAGTTTTATTTTTATTTCAAGGGTCTTTTCAGTTTATCTGTTTCCTATTTCAATTTTATATTGTAAAAATCAAATGATAATATAAATAAAAAATACTACTACAGTATATAATGATAATATATTGGTGTCTACTTATAATTTAATAATAATATGCTGCAATAATATAAATTAATTATATATAATTTCAAATAAAAATTGAAGCTATCATCTAATGGTTAATCGTAATACTGATGTGAAAGCGTTTATTATACATTCACAATGACCTTTTAATATGCCTGTTCCTGGTTTCAGAGCATGTACTACAACATATGATTTAAAGGGGAATTTATAAACTAAAAGCCAAATTAAAATAATATACTTTAGACTAAAACATGGGTTTTTAAAACTGCAACAGAGATAATTCCAAGTACTGGTACACATTTTCAGGTTGTAACTATAATTTCATTCAATTATCTATACCCCTGGAGGTCAAATTACTGACATAAACTGAAGATTGAGGTATTGACCTCAGGCCCCCAAAGGCTGATTGTGTTTACCACTTCATTTGATTTCATACCACTGAGATCAAGCTTTGCCAGAGAGGCTCATTAGCCCCTGACATTGGGGAAAAATTCATTCATTGGCGTAATGATGATGACTTCAGATGATACTTGATTTTTTGTGCAATGCTGTTGCAAAAAGGCAGATGAGACTTCATGCCTTTACATTCCTGAAGGTTAATTGTAAATTTTGAATATTGAAAAAATTAAAATCATGAATATTGAACTAGAGGTCAAATTAAAAACATGGGAATTTCCCCATGGATAAAATCAACAGCTTGAATGCTTATGTCATGCATACAAACTATCCTGTCATATTGCATCATCAGCATGCATGATTTTTGACCATGAATAATGAAAGAATGAGTGAGTTTGAGGTGCTGTTGAGAAAAAAAAAATCTAGTTTTTTTTTAAATTTTAAAATGATGAGGAGAACTTTTTCATTCTTTGCTCTGAGGATAACCACATTCTGTTTTGGCTGATGAATACTCAATTTTTCATGCCCCCATGTGCCCTCAATTGCTTGAGCAAGATTCCTTGAATACTATGGCACATTATTCTGGGGCATCCATCTGGAAAAGGCAGCAGCTGGTGGAGCAGAACAAACATGTTGTTACACAGGTCCAGACAGTGATTGAGAACACAGTTTGGTGTTGAATGAACACTTTCTTGTGATGAGGTTGCTCAAGCTTTTGTCATGTGCACCCAAGCTACAATTATCTCACAAAGTACCTCTAACTGCATGGCAAACTGTGAAATCCTGAAGCAAAAAGACCTGGAGAATGTTTGTTGAGGAATGATAATGCAAAAAAATTCCCTGGAGGGCTTTTTTGGGGGGGGGGGGATATATACAAAAGCTCTGCTCCATGAATCCCTGATTAATCATCATTTTCATCAATTTGCAATATTCAATTCACATTTAGAACCTGGTTCATTCTCCACTCTGTGATTCTTGAGTTGTATCAGAAAGCAATGAATTATTCAGGCATTCTGGAAAAGTAGGAGATGTCCCATTCAAAGAATATTCTTGGCTGCCAAAAAATTGACTAAAAAATTAATTCTGAAAGTAGAAGATACCCCATTCAAAGCATATTCTTGGCTGCAAAAAATTAAATTGGTCTGCCATTGTACAATACTCATTGTACTGCCTTTTATTGGTCTCACTGTCCAACAATGTCCAGTTCAAATGAAGGGATTCTTTACCGTGTGAAAAATTCCACAATAAAAACTTGAACTTTTTTTTTAGATATAGACATTGCAACATTGGAAAGTTGCAGAAGATGCAATTGCTATCAGTTTCTAGTGGTGAAGACAGCTTTTCAATATTCTCCACCAGGTATTCAGTAAAAGTGTTCCAAGCACTCAACTGATCCGAAGTAAAGTCGAGACCATTTTTTAACACGTTTTTATTAACTTGCTTACTTGTCCGTTTGTTTGTCCGGATCAAATTTTGCAACTCAAATTTTGCTCACTTCTAGATGCGCACCACGTTTAAGGTTATTTTTGCTTTTTGAAAACATGGTTTTTTAGATCAATTTTTTAATCTACTAAATTTTTTGTGCTTTTTAGTCTTACTTGAAAAACGTGGTTTTTTAGATTAATTTTTTAATCTACTATAATTATTTTCGATTCTATCCACGTAAAAACAACCTCTAAATTAATATCAGTTAGGCCTCTTCACATTTGAAAACAGAGGCAACAAAAGGGTGCATACAAAAAAATCAGTTAGTTTAATCTCTATAAAATTTCAAGTAAACATAACCAGCAAACAGGGACCGTCCTTCTCCTTCATGCGCCAGTATCCGCAATTGCGTGTCAAAAGATAGATTCAATTTAGGTCAAAGCTTTCTTGCATTCTTTCTGCGCTTTGTTTTTTTTTTAATTTTTATTTTAGCAAGGCCAATTGTGGTTTGCGGCAAGCGAAACGCGTTTTTTCCATTCTTCTCTTGTTTACTTTCCTACTACTTTGTCTCCGGATTAATGTGAGGGAGGTGAAATTAAAAAGAAAAAAACATGTGAAAAGGATAAGATTGAAATCATGGTTTTTTTGCTCTGTAACTTCCTCCCAATGGCCAAGACCAAGAAACCCATAAAAAATGTAAAATTTGCAGAATATAATTGAAGCAAGTCCTGAATCTGATCTTTTGGTACCAAAAGGAGATTTAAAAAAAGCAAAGAAAAAGAATGAGTCTTTGCTAGAATATTCACATATGATAGAAAGAAAAGCTCTGAAAAAATAAGCACAAAAGCAGTTCACTTTTGATAGTGAATTAGAGTGAATTTATCATGAAATATTTTTTCTTCAAATTTTATTTGTGAAATGAAATGGCTTCATTTGTTGAAAAGATATCAACATTTTAAAAAATGTTTTGATTTTTTGGGAAATTTTCAGAAAAGTGTCCCTAACTCAAGCCAAATGTCCAGATGTCAGGCCTGATTTTTTTGGTTATCAAGTGTCACTAAGTTGAATTGTCCATATGTTGGGTGGTCTGCATATGAGGGACTCACTTTTCTCTGAATTACAATTTGAAATCATTTTGCCTTTGCCAGGCATCCATGGAACAAACAAACTGAACCTTTTGAACTGTGTATTTTTTCCAGTTTTTAGCAAACAATTATAATTTTAAAAAATTGTGAAAATTGAAGTACTTATACTGTACAGAGAAATTTGTTGTCTTGACTTATTGCAAAGACAACAAGAAGAAAAAAATTCCCATTATTTTTCTCATTCTTTCTCAAATACTTGAAAAATTCCAGAAGTTTAGCTAAAAAAAAGTTGGCCAAATTTGATAATTTTTTCAGCCAAAAAAAATAGTTTTGTAAAACATTTTTTCATATGTTTTCTTTTTGCCATCCTAAAAAATTTTGCCATGCAAAATTTTCGTTATACGGGTCTTTCTTTAAGAGGGGACCCACTTTTAACCTCAATTTTGGGATAGAAAGTCAAAATTGTGCGATGATGAACTTGCGAATGAAGCAGAAGCAGCTGAATTTCCAAAATAAATACTGTATTGGTCATGTTTTTCCGCAATTTTTCGCATCCAACTACAGTACAGTACAGTGCAGTACTCCGCAAATTTTCCTTTGCAGTACTGCAATAAATAAAAAATTATAGCCCTTTTCTTCGCTATTATTTCAGTGGTCAAATTGAGTTGGACCGATGAGCAAAACATCAAGATTGGTACTGGACGAAACGTGCCAATTTCTCCCCTTCCCCCCTTTTTTCCATTCAATTTTCATTATATTTTGTCATTTGTGTGGAAATATGCCAATCATGAGCGTTAAGATTTAATATCCAATGTTGAGGAGTTTTTATTATTCCCTCAGGTTTTCACAATTTCTGAGCATGGAGACTATTTTTTGCAAAATGATGATTTATTTCTCCATTTCCTTTATAAATGGAAAAAATGAAATGGGAAATTTAGAGCCTTTTAAACTTTCTTAGAATACTTTTTTTTGAACAGAGTCAGAGATGTGGGCAGATTTTGAATTAAATTTTCAAGATCTATTTTTAAGAATTATTTAAATTTCAAAATGTATTTTTTTTTCGAATTATTTTAAATTTCAAGATCTATTTTTTTTAGAGTTATTTTAAATTTCAAGATCTACTGTGTGTGTATTAGACCCATTCTGGAAGGTAAAATTCAATTTAACTGAGTAGAGATCATGTCTTGTTATGTGATTCACTACTGAAGACACCTGAAATCTCAACAGCATTTAAATATTGTCCTCCCCCCCCCCCCCAAAATACATATTATATTCTGAAGACCTGAATTCCACAGAATAATTATCAAGCCAAATTTGCCATGGAATTCCAAGATGCTGGAGAAGGACTGAAAAGTTATTTTAAAATGTGAAAATGCTGTCAATAGTTTGAATAAATTGTTCCAAATTGTTCCATGGAATTCCAAGATGCTGGAGCAGGACTGGAAATTTCTTTTAAAATATGAAAATACTGTCAATAGTTTGAATAAATTGTTCCTTTGCAACTAGTAAATGTGTGAGAAAATTACTGGATGAAATGGAAATATGATACAGTATTTCCACTTGAGTGATTGAAATGATTAAAAGAACAAGAAATTCTATGCATGGAATGTAACATGCCATTGACCAGATAAAAACACAAATAACCCTTACCGAAGACAAGAAGTGTGAACGTGGGTACCTATATTGAATTATTTCAAAAGGAATATAACATAACACAATTGCTTCATAATTTCATGTGAATGCCCTGGAAAAGTAAACAGAATATTCAAAGTGCCAAGAAAATTTGTTTCCACCAACAATTCAGACAAAATTTTGCGTATTCTTTTTTTTCTCTCTGCTTGGTGTGAAGAAGTTGAAAATGTCCACAAGGGATAAGGAGACTTTTCGCAGGGCCAGAATTCTTCTCAATTTTTCCTCATTCATGTATTTATTCCATCTCTCTCTTTTTCTTTCCATCTAAAATATTTACCAGAAGAAACCCCTTAAAATTTGCCATAAAAAGAGAAGAAGAGAATCTTGTCAATTTTTCCATCAGGTAAAAGCCCTTCCCCCCCCCCCCCTCCGCCCCCAAATCATTTCGGAGGCAGGTGAAAGAAGTCCCGTTGATCGTCCTTGAAAGTCCCTTGGTTCCCATCACCTCTGATGCCTCAGTTCAGAAATCATATCTCAGTTATGATCACACACACACACACACAAATGCATATACTACTGCACTGATGCTGTTGTTATTATACAGCTACCCAAGTTTCCCCTGAAAATTTTTAGTACTGCACTTACTGCATTTTGGGAAAATGGATGAGATGATTTGAAAAACGTTTGGAATCAGACAACAACAACAAGAAAAGAAAAGTATCAGTGGCTCTTGGCATATAATGAACAGCATCCGTTTCTGAACCCACTTTGTTTTTTGTTTTTGTTTTTTCAAAATGTTTTATTTATTTATTTTTTTTTGAAGCATGATGATAGAGATTTATGTTAGATATGAAAAAATATTTAATCCGTGCCAGGCATTCACAAAAAGACAATGAGAACAAACCTTTAAAATATGTGCATTTTGGCAAGCTATGAAGTGGGAAATTTGGAATTCTCATCATCATAAAAATGAAGTGATCATGCTGAGTTTGTGCTTTCAACTTTCTGGAATTCTCTTAATTACAAACATGAGACGAACCTATGGCACGTATTTTTCTTGTTACTTGTCTGTTTAAAGAATTTTGAATTATTATTTATTTTGAATTTTTATTAATTTCAGAATTATCTCAAAAATATGCTAAATGATATTATTTTTTTAACATTTTGCATTGTGAAAATGCTGATTTCGGAAAAAAAATTGCGATGCCAACTTTCCATTCGTAACGCGGGAACTCATTGATGTATTTTTTTATACGATATCTCAGTTGCATTTTTATAATTACCAGTAATAAAATAACGATAGCTGAATAAATGAAATCTTATTTTCAAAGGAAAATTTTAGAGATGTCCTAGCTTTCAAAGTTTACTCAACTCAAGAAATTATATTACTTGAATAAAATTATAAAAATGTCTTTCAAAAAATAATTATCTTGTCCTTGGCTTTTAAATGTGCTCATTAAATGTTTTATGTTCTGAAACCCATCATTACCATAAAGCATCAAATGCATCTTGTGCCTGACACATAAAATAGAGAAAAACTAAGTCAACAACCTGCAATGAAAATATAAATATGATATAAGATATACATTTGATGCTTCTCTTGATGAACTTCAGTTGGAACAATTTGAATTTAATATGAATAATCAGATATGACATTATTTTCCTATAAATAGACTCAAAAAAACTGGCCAATATGAGAATTTCTCCCTTGATATGAGTGATTTTCATGAGCTTCCTCACTTCCTCTAAAAAAAAAAAAAGAAGTCCAACTATGATAAACTACTCAGGAAGGAAAAAAGGCAGGGGATAAAACAGGTTTTTTCCAGGAAGAGAGGGACATTATAAATAACCCATAACCATGTTTCTTCAATGTCAGCAAGTTCACTTCAGATCATCATTAAGATGATCTGACTGGACACCCAATCCTTCCTTCCTTGGAGAAACAATGTAGAATATGAGGTTAGGTTGTATTTTTTTGAATACTTAGGCAAAGGACATTTCCCTAAATATATTGTATCTTTTAAACCAGGCATCCAATGTCAAAAATACAAAATTAGCCAAAAAATAAATCAGTTCTGTGATAATTTTGACAGGAGGACAAGGGTAATGAAACTAAATTCATGTACTTTATAAGTTTTAAAAAGGTCCAAATAATGATGTTCTAATTTCTTTTTCTGAAAAAGGATTCTACAAAAAAATGGGCAAATTTCATAGTTGAAAAATTATATTCAGTGAATCAGGCTGAAAATTTCAAGAACACTGCTCAAGCCAGGCCAGGAAAACATAATTTCTGCCATGAAAACAACTATAAGTAAACTCAGTTGTGGTATTTAGTAACTTTTTTTTAAAAAATTATCAATTTCCACCAGATTTTGAAATTATGATCTCATGACCAGACATATGTTCAAAATATGTAACTTAGTTTACTGAAAAGTTAAGTCATGGCCAAAATGATCAAGTATTAACCCTAGAATTCTAAATGATCTGCTACCAAGAACATAAAATTCTGGTCCTAAAGAAAATTTTGTTTTGGCTCTCTCACAGGCCAAACTTGTCCAATTATCAATTCATTGTGTGCAATTTCCTCTTGCCATTAATCTGCATGTGGTTTAAAAATGCCTTGGTATCAACTGCGCAATAATTTTACAGCTATCACTGCGATACTCCAGCAATAAAACACTTCATTTCACTTCAAGGAAATCCACATTTTGAAAGAAAAAAATTTTTCTTCTTGAATTGAACACGTACTGTATTGTAAAACGAGCAGAAAAGGCGCTGGATTCGATTTCCAGATTAAATTCAGCATAAATTACTTAATCGCACTGCAGAAATGTAGTTCAAACAACCCGGGGAAACAAAGAAAAAGCACGGCTGAATTTAGTTTCAATTCTACAGGAACGAATCGCCCGCTTTTTTCCCCCCGTTAGAAATCGTTCGCAATTCCCGAATCAAATAAGACGGGCAATATTAGCATGAAGTTATTTGCACTCTTAATTCCGAAGAATTTCGTTCGTCCGTTTTGCTGAGCTTAATCATACGCGCACTACATTTTACTTTCCCCGCAATTCGGTAGGGGATAAAAAGCACTATAATAATAAAAAAATAATAATTCTTGAATAGCGTTGCCAGTGAATCGATTTCAAGTTGACGCGTCCCAAATTAAATTCCGTCTTGCCTCGGGGCTCAAACTTATTTTCCAGTGCAGTATTGTGAATAAAAAAAAATGTGGAAATGGAGGAATACACACAAGAAAGACTGGGGAAGTTTAATTTTCAGAGATTTCAGGAGAACTGATTTTTTTCCGCAAGAATTTCCCAACACTCTTGAACCAACAGTCGTGGAGGAAAACTTGGGTTGCTTCACAAGTTTCGCCATTCTCTCTTTTTTTTTTGAGTTGGAATTTTTGGAATGGCAAGTATTTCATGAAAAAATATTAATATTGACGCGGTGGAACAAAAAATGAACATACAGTAAAATCTCGTTATAGCAAATTATTGGGTTTGAAAAGTCATGCTAAAAAAAACTATTCAGTCATATTTGCAATCAGAAATTGCAGACTGTGCCTGCCTTAGTCAGGAAATTTCTACCTGGAGAATTTATTAAATACAGTATTTATAAAAAAATTTATATAGGGATTTCTATAAAAAGAGAATTTTCTACATCATCAAAAAAAGAGGCAACACTTTCCTTTTTCTGCCATTTATTACCATATCATGATTAATAATTTATGCTAGGCAAGCGCAACATATCTTCTAGAGTTTCATCCTCTACCTTAAAATCAAATGATTAGCCTTGTGAAGGGATAATAAAACCTTGTTAAGGTTAAATATTAATTGTTAAGCTAGTGGAGTACAGAAAAGAGTATCATCATCAGATTTATTCCAGTTATTCAGTGGAAGCTAGAGTTTCCTGAGTAGTTGTTATTCCTTGTGAAATATACCTTACTCTTAACCCAGGAATTCCAAGAAGGTATTTAAGGTTAAAAAAGAGAATTTTCTACATTATTCAAAAAAAGAAAAAAAAACGCTATCATTTGTATTTATTTACTACCATATTAATTTATAATTTATGTTATGCAATGATGCCATATCTTCTAGAGTTTTATCCTTTACCTTAAAATCAAATGATTAACCTTTTGAAGGGATAATAAAACCTTGTTACGGTTAAATATTAATTGTTAAGCTAGTGGAGTATACAGAAAATAATATCAGCATCAGATTTATTCCAGTTATTCAGTTGAAGCAAGAGTTTGCTGAGTAGTCCTTATTCCTTGTGAAATATATCTTACTCTTAATCCAGGAATTTCAAGAAGGAATTCCGGCCCATGTCCCGGGCTCATTATTGTCTTTTATTGACACTAAATTATATTGAGGCGACATCTATCCCCAATAATTTATCAGGATTAATATCATTTACTTTTTGAAATGTATTAATAAAAAAATTAAAACATTCTCAAAATAAATAAATAAAAATGAAAATAATGTAAACAAATTTGAATTTCCTACAATTAATCAAGGTTATTAACATCTTTAAAATCAAAATTTAATATAACTGGATTTAATATTGAATACTCATCTGGAGGAGTTTGATTATTATGAGATTGTTTACAGTATACTCCACAAATGGGGTTTCCGCTAGGACTTGAGAAGAAATTTTGTTTCACTGAAAAAATGTGTTATTGTAACGGTATTTGCCATAACGTGATTCAACTTTGCATTATAGAATTGGAAATTCGGGCCCCTCCAAGAATTTGACTGTCCAAAAAACGAGACGAAAAAATCCGAAAAATTTCGTCATCATTCCGGGTCTGAAAAGCCAGGAGAGAAATTCGTGATTCTGCGCCAGAGAAGCCAGCAGCAGGGAAAACGGGGCTTCAAAGGTCGAATCGATTCTGGACCGAACAACGCTTTGATCATAATAGCGCAAAGAAGGGCTTCGAGGACGCGCGCTTTTTTTTATATTTTTCATAAATATTTATCTCTTTATTCAATGCAGATTTTTTGAGTATCTTTCCAGGTGTTCCTCTTCTCTATCAGTTCAGACATGCTTTGAAAAATAAAAAAAAACCTGCTTTCATTGAGAATTCCCGGTCCGAGAAAAATTATCACCGAGAGGCGAAAGACCAGGCGTTCATCTTCCCTGATGCACAGGTGTGCCGGTGTTATTGCTGGATACCCGTTCTTTAAAAATTCATTTCACTCCTACATTTTAGTGAAAATAAGCTGAAATTGAGATGAGCTTCAGTGGTCAATTGCAGGATACAAATGCATTTCCATACAGTTTCGTGGATCCTTCCCAGCAGTTCAGTTTCAGTTATTGCGAAACAAACCCGCTTTGCAATATTTCAGGTTGTTAAATTAGATAAATATAGGAAGAAGGAGATTGTGTGTTCAGTTGGTATGTCTTGTTGGAACCCTGGATTGAAGACAGGAAAGAAAACATAAATTTTGGGAAATTTATGGAGGCTCATTCTCAAAGGAAAAAAAATCAGAAACCCATTGCTTCAGAGGATCTTACCTATTACTCAAGGGCTGTGAAATAAGGTTAGGGTAAAATTGATGAGTTTACTTGGTCAGTTGGTAGGTCTTTTAGGACCAGCAGATTCCAGTCAGAAAAGAAAGATTCATTTTCATGAATTTTTTTGGCTCTTCCTCATTGATCAAATTGGTAAGTACTGTATGTACTTCACAATGATATTTGAGGTGATTAAATTAGATAAGACTATAGGAAGAAGGAACTTACATGTTATGAGTTAGTTGGTAGGTCTTGTTGGAACCCTGGATTTGAGATAGCAAAGAATATTGTAGATTAAAAAATTAATCTAAAAAACCATGTTTTTCAAGTAAGACTAAAAAGCACAAAAAAATT